TTTCAAAGTGTAGTTGAAGTTTGATTCCAAAAGAATACACAAAGTCCTCCTCCACAAATTACTTTGATCAATTTAAAGCGCCCTACATGTTTCGGGGCTAGAAGACCTCTTCATCAGGGGCTATCGCTCACATATTACAAAGTATTTTAGGTCGCTAGACTCCGCATTTGGCAGAGGAAAAGGAACAGAAAGTTGAAACATTGAAAAGTTAAGACATTAAAAAAGACAAATGTAAAAAAAATAAAAAAATTAATAGATCAATTGTATATATAATTCTATTTTTTCTTTAATTTTTAATAATAATTGACTTCACTACGTAATACCTATTTTGTCAATTATTATTTTTATATCGCGAAACAACTCCATGGTTGTGGGTTATCTACAAAATGGTCAAGGAACTACAAATTTTATCCCCAGGCAGCCTGTTTTTCCTCCAATAATACGGCGTCTATTTCTTTATTTTCCACTATGACTCTGTGCTGAGCTACCATCTGGACCAGGAACATTTTCTCTCGGTGTACTTGGTCGCCATAATTACTTGTGCATGAATTTCACAAAAAAATCACTATTTCTACAGCTATAGCTTGTTAATATATGATTCTATGCGAAAGAGTATTGAACCATATATCAACAATGACAACCTAATGACAATAACAATAGACATTTCGTAGAAAGCGGTGTTGTCAGCTGCAAAACTTAAGACGAGGCTTCCTTCAATAAGAATTCTTTAATTCGCAACTATGAAACGCCAAAGTCACAAACCACAAAGGAGTCCTTATTCAAGGCGACCTTCAAGTCGCAAGGGGTCCTTAATTTGAGGTGTGACTGAGAATACGGGCCTTAGTTAGGTAGAGGCTGAGCTTAAGGTGAACCTTTAGGTTGAGTTGCTTTGCACTGACGAAATCTTAGCTAAGAATTGAAAGCTGTTGGCAACAGCGCAAAAATGCGTATTTCAAGGCAGAAATGAAGGAGGAGGTACCTATTTCAAGCAAGGAATTTATCTTTATCCGTTAACCTATCTGCGAATCGAATAAAATATAAATATTTTCGTTAATTTCGTCTTTTCTTTTATAAGTTATATCACGTGGATATTATTTTGAATATATTTTTGGCATTCTGGTGCACAATTCTGTAGAAATCACCCAATTCAAAAATAGTTTTTAAAAAGAATTTATATCAAGAGTATAGAGTGTATGTAGTTTTTTATAACTAAACTCAATTATCTTCCAAAATTTAGTAGTTCGAGTTGCCATTTTGCTGTAAAAGTAATAAACTATAAACGCAAAAAAATAAAAGCATTAACAAATAACTAAAATAACAGCAACAACCATAAAAAAGCTTCGGAAAACTGGGAAGGGAAAGGAGCAAGTAGCTCCTTGTGTTCAATTTGGCAGTCGAAAAATTAAAATACCCTACATTGTTTTTGCTATGAAAATAAACGTATATATATATTTTTGTATTTGCTTTAAACATGCAGTCTTCGGAGAAAAGGCTCTTGGAACCTTGGATATACAATTCCAATTCCGATAATGAAGTCAAAAGTCAACCAGAATTCTGTCAAAAAAAAAGAAAACAAAAGCCATAAATGAGGTTAGAATTCAACTAAGCGGAGAAAATCTGAGGCTTAACTTAACTAGGCTTGAGGTGGACCCTTACAGTGGTGCAAAGCAAAATCGTAGTTTAAGTTCTACTTAAGACTAGGCTGACCTTAAGTTGTAGCGGTGCAAATAGCAGTAAATCTGACTAATCCAAAAGCAGTGTTGCCAGGTCATATTTTGTTTTTTCAGTGGACTACTAGTCCAAATATCAGTAGAAATCAGTAGACAGATAAATTGCCTAGTTAAGGGGGTAAACCATCAGGGAATACCCAATTAATTATTATAGTTACATTCTTTTAAATCATTATTATATTATATAGTTATAGTTGTACAGCATAACGCTATGTGACCAATTCACTAACCAACAACGCATGCCTTTACGCAACTGGCAAGATAAAACTGACAAAAGGTAAGTAAACAAAACAACACAAGCACGCACAAACGCCGGGGATTACCCATTTCCCAGTAGGCTGAGTGCTGCGCCTGCACTGTGAGCGTTCGAATGTTCCAATACATACCACACCGGACTGATCGGAGTAATCGGGCGTCATTAAGAGTACACTCGTAATAGTTCTAGCCCACAGGTCCAGCATGAAATTATTGCTGTGACATTCTCATACATGATTATAATTTAAAAAATATCATAAAAAGCGGTTAAATAATGACAGCTGTTTTTATCAGTAGAAATCATATTGATATCAGTATATGAGTAGACCCAATGGCCAAATCAGTAGATCTACTGATAAATCAGTAGACCTGGCAACACTGTCCAAAAGTATTATAAGGGCGGGTATTATAAAACTACTTTGAGAGTTAACTTAAAGTTAACTTCTGAAAATACATGTAATTCAAAAAGTTAACTTCTAGTTAACTGTCAAAGCAGTTTTATAATACCCGCCCTAAGTGGATTTAAAATATGAAAAACTGACAAAAATGACAGGAGTGAAATTTACCTAGCGGCAGAGTTGGTTAAGAAAGAGTGCACACTGGGTAGCACCCCGGATATTTTCGAACTAGGGTGAAAGTTAACCGGAGTTTATACCAGCTCATTTTCGAACGACTGGTGTGCACTCGGTGTGACGCCCAGACTGATTTCGAACGCACTCCTGAAGCTTTATTCTTGACTTTACCTAGAAAATTTGACATTAGCCGCTTTCCCAGCTGTGTGCTTCAAGCACGGTGCAGCACAGTGTTCTGTGTTTGAAACGCTAAAAATTAGCTCTCGAAGCGCAGTACGGCTGGAACACCAAAACGCGCTTGGAGCATTTGCGCGCGCAAAAGCTCAATTGCGTGCTCAAAAGCGTCAGCTGGAAAGCGGCTATTGTTAACAGTTTTACCGTATTTCTTTTATACATCGAGTTACACCGAATGAGCTCATCGGAGTCACTCAAAAACACACAATTCAGATTTTACCATTATTTTTTAATATTAACATTACCATTAGAGAGTTCTCGTGCTGTCCAAATTTCAAATACCGTGACTAATTTGACAAGTATGAAGTGTGACAGTTCTTACGGTATTAACGTTAGCGGATGCTTTACCGTAACGCTATGCTATGTCAAAATTAGTTTCCGCTCCATTTACGTCTGCAAAAACAGCAACTTCTAATAATTTCTCCAAAAAAAATACCAAAGAAAAATGAATGAAACTCAGGAATCTTCAGGATAAATAAAAGTTGGCAAACAAGCAAAAAAAAGAGGGGTTAGATCCCTCAATTCAGCTGCCAAAATGTAAACAGAATAAGGGATTAGAGGATTTTTGTGTCTTCGTGTCCGAGAACTATAAAATACCAATTAAAATACCGTATTGTTAGCGGTACCGTATTAGGGTAGCGTCTGAGGCACGAGAACTTTCTATTAGCGTCATTACCTAAAAGGGCTTCTTGCACCCCCCGCAAATTTGGTGCATCAGGAGTAAGGGGGATGCACTATGAGCGACTCGAGTGCTTAACACACTTTTAAAAGGAACGTTCAAGCTTTTGACATTGAGCAGCTCCGAGTAACTCAACGGGTAAAAGGAATACAGTATTTAATGCACTGTTCAACTGTCAACAGTCAAATTTTCTCTCGAGAGAAAGTCAAGAGGCGATTTCGGCAAGCTTTGGTACATGGTTTGGTACCCTGTTTGGTCTGTCAAATGCATATCAACCAATTTCGGATACGAAAATGATGTCATCGTGACTCTGGTATCCTTTTTGGTCTGTCAAATAGGATACCGTGGTCAGTAGCACGGTGCTTCTATTTGGTATAGTGCTATCTACGTCCATTTTCGTTTTGTCATGCTCTGGGAAATGTAAATAAATGGAAGTTCATTAGAATTTGAATAATTTGAAATTTTTAACAAATATGGTTGTTTTTTTCGCCTTCACTTCCTGTTTTCTCGTATGTTTTGACTGCCAAATAATGTTTGAAGATCATTTGAAAAATGGCTTTGATCGACAGATATGGGGTAACTTTTTTGCTGAATGTATTATGGAATAAGCTTTAAATTTACAGAAAACGCTGAGTTAGCCAATAGGTTACTCAAAGGTACTGTCTAGACAGTGCTGATTAGTGATTATAGATTTTAGTCAGTGCAGTCAGTATCTAGTCGCTCCCGAAACTAGAAGAACTACACAAAGTTAGGTTGAGGCTCGTCTCTTCCCCACTCTCATGACCTACCAAACGAATTCGGAACAAAATGGTATCTTACGTCATTAATATGACGTGCAGGTACCAATTGGTTAACCAAATGGTATACCCCAATGAACTATAACCAAAAACTGGAATGCTAACACATAAGGACGAACGTGAAGCCTAGTGCGGCTGCTGCGGAGGGGATACCTGTTTTTGTCGCACTCATTATGTTAAATGGCGAAAATTGCTTCCAGCACGTATTCCAATCGATGAAACCTGTGAAGGGAAATATGACAAAACTTTCGAAAACGTCATATGTCAGCGAGCAACAGAAAAAAACAACATTCCCCTTTGTGGCATATGTCTTTCATGGCTACATTTTTTTGGCAGATATGGCAATGTGTGCGCATTCCAGTTTTTAGCTATAGTTCAAATCAGCAGGCTAACTTGAGCGACAGCCCGTGTAATAAAGGAACTCATCGTCAAAATGTCACTAGCGGCCATTTTGGGATAGGAAACAGGGCCTGATTAACGATAATTTAGGTTTTTTCTTTCCTGTGACAGAGTCGTATTGGCTTTAAATAAACTAATTTATTATTACTTACATATAATAATGTTTAGAATTACTAATTTATTATTATTATTGAATATACAAGAATGTTAACAGATAACACCATAAATGACAACACGAATATATCAAAATCATTTTGAAAATCATAGCTAAAATTCCGCTCTACACCGCACGCCTATGACCTCCGTCAGAAATAAACAAATAAAATAAAATTTTGGCGCTCCTGCCGTTTAATGACAGCCTTATGACAAAATGGTATCCCCTAATGGCGGCGTGCGCAGAAAAGATACGCGTGAGAGTTAGCCTGCTGATTGTTTTTGTATATGCTGTGGTTCATTGGTATACCCAAACAGGTATCCCCTCCGCAGCAGCCGCACTAGGCTTCAAGTTCGTCCTTATGTGTTAGCATTCCAGTTTTTGGTTATATATAGTTCATTGGGTATACCAACCAAAGCTTGCCGAAATCGCCTAAGAATAAGGCCTCTAATGTACTTTGTCTTTTTTCAATCGCATTAAATAAAGAAAGATAAAAAAACAAACAGCTGGTGATCGGGTTGAATGGATCAGTTTTTTCTTAAAAAAACTCATTAAAGTACTAATGAAGGCATCCTGATTGGTCAAAAAAGCCACATAGATCTCAGAGTCAGAGGATGACGATTCGGTTTAGTTTTCCAATTATTTTTCTTCGTCTAGCGTCTTAGTGCTTGTCTAGTGAGTTTTATTTCTTTTTTAAATCGATGATAAACAAATAGAAAAGACAGTTTCCCATCAGGATTCCAAGAAGAAAAACTATACAATAAGGAAGTCATCGAATGAATCAATTTTAATTCAAAAGTTTAAACTTGCAGGAAGAGGAAGTTAAAAGGTATCTACTTTGTTTTATAATAGTAATGGCTGGTTTATACAACATTTGCATAGTCCTAATCATAATCATAGTCTTAGTCTTAGTCTTAATCATAATCACAATTTTAGGAGGCGTTTATACAATGTCATAAGCATAAAATAAAATCAACTCTAACCCGACTTTTTGTAGGGAGAGTTTGTTTACTTTTTGCGAATCGAGCTCATGTATTTACTTTTAATACTTTTTCAAAGTTTCACAAAGTGTGGAAATTAAAATTCTGCAAAGGAAAACCATACAAGTAATAGGCCTGTCCTATTTATTTTTGAGTTTTGCGCCACATTATTCAAAGACATGTGGAAGCTTGATGGAGATCAATTTTTTGAATACTCTAGAATGATTCAAGATCAATTTAAATACACACAGATTTAAAATAGCAGATTTGAATTGTTTTTCTCCGTAACAGCTGATAATGGCGCTTGCGCAGTTTGGATCTCGTCTTAGTCACAATCATAAAAGTTAAAAGTTGCCAACTTTGAGTTATGCTTATGCTTATGATTATGATTTGTGTATAAACGGTTCCATAAGAAAATATTATTTTAACTCTTATGACTAAGACTATGATTATGATTACGACTATGCAAATGTTGTATAAACCAGCCATAACTAAACCACTACTAACTACTAGTACTACAAATATTACCTTAGAATATTACTATGATTACTAGTACTTTTATATACCTAGGGCGCTGTGTTTACTTCATTACTAGTACTATGTAGTTACTACTCAAATTCTCTGCATATTAGTTTGTTCCTTAATCTGCATATGAGTGTGCTAATAATATTCGGTGCCATATCACTTTAGTGCCACACTCATTGAGGCTCGATAGACACATAATTCGTTTGAGTGGAAAAGTATTCAACGATTTCTTAAATAAAAATTGCGGATATAGCACTTTTTTCAAAAATATAGGCCTTTTCAGTTTGTACTATGTTTCGTTGCCGCAGTTAAGATACGGGATACGTACGGTTTTTGAAGCAAATGGACCCAAGTTCGATTCTCGTTGGAGGCAATACAACCTTTTTCGTAATTGTTTAGAAAAGGGCTTTCAACTCGATGTTTCAGGATTACCTAATACTTTTACCTGACACTCAACGCGTTACCAGCAACACCACTCCTCCTTCGGAGTCGTGGTGTAACACGTTTCGTGACAGGTAAAAGTATTATCTGGTAATCCTGAAACCTCTTGTGGTATTACATTCGAAAATTCTCTTTTGAATTTGATTAACTAGAGAGAATTACAGCGATAATTCTCCCATGTTATTGTATACATGGTTGTCATGCTAATTTTTGATACAAACAAACGGTTCCTGATAGCAACCATTTATTTTTATTGATTGTTAAGATGTTCAAATCGTTTAATACATATTTATTTCCACATTTTTGCATTCTCATACGTAAAATAATCCTCTAAATACCACTTGAGCTTTAAAATGAACCAGATAATTTTTCACTCATGCGTGTTTTCTCTGCAAATTTCACTCGTCCTACGGACTCGTGAAATTATAGAAAACACGCAATCGTGAAAAATTATCGGTAATTTTGAATAGACACGTCAATTTTGTTTTTTGGTTTGAAATTTTCTGATTTATTTTTCACTATACAGGGTGTCTCAAAAATAGCTCCGCTGCTATCAACTTTGTTTTTTCAAATAGACCACCCTGTATATTATGACATTTATGGATTCTGCGGGAAATTTTTGACATATTTCATGTACCTATCTTCAACTGTTTCGGAAATATTGACAGTTGAAAATTGATTTTTTTGCAATTTTGATAGGCTGTAAAACCTGAACGGTTAGTTTTAGAGGAAAACCGATTCTACATTCTTGTCTTAGATTTTCATAAACTATCATTAGACACCAACTTTGAAGTTAATCCGTTATTAAAAATTCTGGTTAAATTTATTCTCCGGATAAATTCAAAGTTGGTGTCAAATGATAGTTTATGAAAAACTAAGATAGGACTGTAAAATCGGTTTTCTTCTAAAATTAACCGTTGAAGTTTTACCGCTTGTCAAAGTTACAAAAAAATTAATTTTCAACTGTCAATATTTCCGAAACAGTTGAAGATAGGTATATGACATTATACACATGAAATATGTCAAAAATTTCCCGCAGAATTCATAAATGTCATAATATACAGGATGATCCATTTGAAAAAACAAAGTTGATAGCAGCGGAGCTATTTTTGAAACACCCTGTATAATGAAAAATATATCAAAACATTTCAAACAAAAAAATAAAATTGACGTGTCTGACCGATTTTTAAAATATTCTACCGTTTTCAAAATAATGAATTTATCCCTTACTTTACGGACACAGTGTATATTGATCTGTGTCAAAGGTTGAGAAGAGGATTCATTCAATATTTATGAAATCCAATTTATAGTTATTTGCAACAACAGTTTTGATCAAACTAAACCTCGAACTAAACTATCTATAAAGAAAAAGCATGATATTTTTGTGAACGACCTTTACTAAACTAGTAGGTACTTGAAGGTAATTATTTAAAATACTTAAGTCCTTTGATTTTATGGTGAAAAAAAATTAAATGTTTTAATAAATAGTTATATGCGCCAACATTTTTGAACATAAAACAATATTTTGGAATCAAACTGAACTGTCTATGAAGAAGAAGCATGATATTTGTGTGAAGAACCTTTACTAAACTGTTAACCTGCGGTTAGTTTGGATTTGCTGTTTCGTTTAAAATGCCAACATACTTACCAAGACTATAATAGCACTTATTACGAGCACGTGCCCAGCTGTTTGGTTTAGTTTGGGTTAGTTAGTTTTCAACAAAAAAAAATTAAATAATCCGCATTTTTTTGTAAAGATCCACTCTCTAGACTAGAGTATGCAAAATGTTCTAATTTTTATCAAAAAACTCTTGGTTTTTGTGGCACTAAAGTGTTATGGACCCTAATAGTCTTTTTATTTATTTATTTATTTATTTATTTATTTATTTATTTATTTATTTCATTACTTTACAAACACCAAAAATAGTAATTACATGTAAAGTTAAAACAGCGAAGTGTAAAACACAGAAATAAAGATAGAGTACACAATATAAACATATATGACTAATTTAAAAGGGCCTTCAATTGATTGAAAGTTACATTAAAAAGATCTACCTGGACCTCATTAAGTGCTTGGTTCGCAACTGTCATCATGCGATTAAATGGTGACATATTATTACTAGGATCAGTACCAAAGTATTTCTTGTTTTTCATAATTCTTAAGTTAATCTTTGGTACAATTAAGGAGACATAGTTAATTAAATTACAATCCTTATACTTTAGGTTGTTTAAAATATAAAACAAAAATATCACAGCCTGATTATTCCTTCTTTCCACTAATGACTTTATCTCAAAACTAACAAGCATATCCCTGTAAGGAACCATATATGGGTAAATATTATTTTTAACCACATAGAGATACCGCAAAAATCTCTTCTGCACTTTTTCAATTTCATCAATATGCGTGGCTTCCAATGGCATCCAAATGTGTGATGCATATTCAAGGTGTGGTCTCACCAGAGCATTATACAAGTTAATAATTGTACTTATTTTAAAGTTCTTACTATTCCTGATTACAAAGCCAAGTGCTTTTACTGCTTTATTGACAGCATGATGAAAATGCTTATTGAACTTCATGTTGGCCTGGAAAAAGACACCCAAATCCTTCACCTCTGTTTGACGATCAAGCTCAGTATCACCAATCTTGTATGTTTCTTCTATTGGGTTTGTTCGTCTCGTAAAGCTGACAACAGAACACTTATTAACATTTAGGGACATTCTGTTGTTGTTGAACCAGTCTTATACTCTTTTGAATTAATTCTAGTTCATTATAATTCGTGGCTATATATTATGTAGATTGCTACTTTTTCTGATTTATTGGTAAAACCCGAGGTAAAACCACAATTCTTTTTTTTCAGACTGAAAATGTCAGATGTAGGAGATTGGTACCGAAGCGTACCTCGCTTCACAAGAATGTGGTTCACTGGCACCGTAGTCCTATCACTTTTAGGCCGTTTCGGCCTGCTGAACCCACTCAATCTTATTCTGCTATATCCGCAAATAAAACAGTTTCAAATATGGAGGTTTGTCACTTGTGTACTGTATTACCCTTTGACACCACAAACAGGGTTCCATTATTTGATTAATTTGTATTTTTTGTATAATTATTCGAGGCGATTAGAGACAGGTGGGACTATATGATTTATTTTTTCAATTTATATCAAGGAATTTTCTTAGGCCATTTCCTAGGAAAACCAGCAGATTATGCATTTTTGCTTATGTTCAATTGGATATGTTGTGTTATTATTGGGTTGGTTGCTGAAATGCCGGTGAGTGTCCTGTTTTTTTTTTTACTCCAATTATGTTTTAAATATCTTCTTTTAGATTCTAATGGACCCAATGGTCTTGTCAGTACTCTACATTTGGTGCCAACTGAACAAAGAGGTAATAGTAAACTTCTGGTTTGGTACCAGTTTCAAAGCGATTTATTTGCCTTGGGTACTGCTGGGATTCAATCTAGTCATGTCTGGTGGCGGAGTGATGGAGCTAATAGGAATCCTCATAGGCCATTTATACTTTTTCTTGGCGTTTAAGTATCCCCAGGAATTAGGCGGACCATCTTTACTTGCCACACCGGGCTTTTTGAAAAACTTTTTTCCAGATGAAATTGAAAGAACTGTCCACGGGTTTGGACAGGTCCCAGAAAGAGCTCCAGGGGTTCCTGGAAGAAGAGGGTTTGGCCATAATTGGGGACAAGGGAATGTTTTGGGAGGCAATTAGCTATGAGTTGTCTTAATTGTTTTTTGTAAATTGAGTTGCTTTATAAATATTTTTTTTGTAAGAATAAATTGATGGGTTACAATAATTTTGTGTGAATGTTGTGTAATTGGATGAATTATTTTCAATAAAAATTTAAACAGTAGTGTCACGATTATTTGTATCAAATAAAATCAAAAATCAGACTCATCCCAATTTTGCCCAGCCAAATGTTGATAAGTGGTGATGGATTTGGCGGGACTAGCTTGACTGATGGGCGATAAATAATCAAATTTAAATACACTGTTGTTAATAGCACTAGAGTTTGTTTTGGGGTTTTCCTAAATATTTGAAACTTATTATGTAATCATAATGATGGATGTATGAAGGATTGAAAAAAATATGTTTTCCATATTTTAACTCCACTAATTACTAATTCACAAATCCTCGTTTTGAAAATGTAATCTCAGCAATAATAATAAGTGTATTACAAGCAGGCCTATGATGTATCATTTTCCGTTATTTTAACTGCAACATTAAGTTATCTGTCAATTGTTCATACAGCAAAATGGAGAGGGGCGTCGACAGGCATCGATGTTGAGCTTTGAATATAAAACTACAGGAAGGAGCGTTTTCTATATGTCACTACAGACAACGCAGGGACGGAAACAGCCATATTGAGCCTTCAAGTATGGACTCATCATTTGTTTTGGTGGTTCGCTGTGTCCTCATTCAAGTGGATGAGTGGATGTTTAATGGATTTTAGTGGCTTTAAGTGTTAATAGGCACTGGGATTAGTGCGAAAAGAGTGAGTCATAATATTGACAATCATATTTAAATAAATATACGCCACTGCCAAACCGGAAATACTAGCCGGCCATATGCAACCTCCACATATTTTGATCGCGCAGATTCGAAGTTATGCTCGTTCCTGTAGTTTTATATTCAAAGATGTTGAGCGTTGAGCGAGAACATAGCTGTCAAAATAAAGGGAGAGGATACATCACAGGCCTCTGAATATCACCTTCAGTTTACTTCAAAGTAAAAAAAAAATGACATTTTATAATTTGCCACCATGATGAGAAACTCAGAAGAAGAAAGAACTATTGTTCGTCGATTTTTATCTGACACTTGCCCTATGAGGAGCGAGGGGGTTATATGGCAAAAACAGGTGTGACGTCAGGTGACCATTGGCGTTCTTAGGTAGGGTGCCATCAGCTCACATTCCTTCCGAGTATCAGATTAAAATCGACGGACTTTAACTCCGTCAATAAATCTTCTTGCTTTTCTTGCATGTTTTTCGCTTTTCAAATACAAAGTAACAATTTGGGTGTCTATCTATCTCTATGTTCTTTTTAAATGACCTAATCTACAACTTCCATTCTGGATCCAGATCCAGTCTTCTATTCTCAAATGACCTAAAAATCTTTATGAAGGTGCCTTCGTGTGGCGATTCTCTACAGTAATAAAACCAGGTATACCTACTTAGCCAGTAGCGTTGCAGCAAAGTGTTCATGGACTTAAACAGGGTGATGTCAAGTTATGAGATTTTGGCGCTCCATTTGGATTCAGTTCACTAAAAACATGTTGATAATGTCCGGCAAATACCATTTTAAAGTCACGTGATACTGGTGGCAAAAAACGTATGTCCATTGATTATGTCGTTGATATCACCTACAAAAAGCTACTGGTGGTTAATTACTATTGAATTTTAATATATGTTCCCACTAGCATTTTACAAACGCGTTTCTGAAGTAGTATTGATCAATCAGAGGGCAATTTTAATACTTGCTATTGTTGCGAGACTCACTTTTGTCGCATCTGCTGTCTGTTGTAATACATTCTGAACTTAAACTGGGTACCCGTTTTCTATTTGCTTCTTTTCGAGTTGGAAAAAGGTTAATATAGTCAAAATTATTAGCTGTGTTTGTTCGTTGTATCATTTTCTAAAATAACTTTGACAAACTAATTGATGACAGTGACGGATTCTATTTCAGGTAAGAGTAAGAATATTATGAACAATAATTAGACAGCAATTTTTTTGTCAATTTTACTATCACCGCTGTTTGAGATGTATTCAACAAGGATAGAGAAAAATCACGTGACTTTAAAATGGTATTTGTTGGACGTAGAGGAGTTAATAAGAAACAATCATGACCGCTGAGCCAATTGTGTCTTATACGTGATAGAGCGAGTTCTGTCTTTAAGTTTTTGTATAAATAAGTAGTTGAAAGTTTAACCTTTTCTCAGTCCTTACAAATGCTCAACATGGCTAAACTATGATCAGAACCAACATGAACAAGAAATATCCTCCTCCCCTGATGCGTATAGTGCTCTATGGTGCCTCTGTTGCTGCTGTTGCTAAGGACAGAGTTTGACAAAAACGTCATTAGTGCGCAACTGTCGCATTTTCCCTTTTCAAAAGTTTGATCGATTCCCTACCTGAATGTTTCTATCAGTTTGGAAAAATGGAGAACTTAGCAAAGCCCCAAATAATTTGCCACAATCAAAAATCCTTAGATTACGCTATTCACGACGTCAAATGGATTCCTTGCTCCGCAAAATTTGTAGCTATAGGAGGCAAATCTAACGGTGCAGGTATTGTGGAAACTTATCAGCTATCTGCAGATGGCATAGAAAAACTAGACGAATTTTGCAAAAAGGATCACTTCAAATGTTGCACTTTTGAAGCGTCGAGTTTGAGGAACAGGCATTTGGCGACTGGAGATTTTTCGGGACGATTACAACTCTGGTAAGAACAATAATGGACTTCTGTAAAAACATTGCCAAATAATTTACGTTTGTTAGGGACCTAGAAGACACTCTGACACCAGTTTACAAAACCACAGTGCACACTGCTGTAATCAATTCAATAGATGGAGTGGCAGGCCAAAGCGCTAACTGTGGAGCTCCAGAAATTGTTACTGGTTCCCGCGACGGTAAACCTAAATTAGTTTTAGTTTAGAATTTGAATTTTAGCTCATAGTTTTATGTAGGTTGTGTAATGGTATGGGATGTGCGCCAAAAAGACATTCCAGTGGCAAAATTCACTCCTTTAGAAGGCCAAGCAGGCAGAGACTGTTGGTGCGTGGCTTTTGGAAATTCCTACAACGACACTGAAAGGATAGTAGCTGCAGGATATGATAATGGAGACGTTAAATTGTTTGACTTGAAAACTATGAGCGTACGATGGACGAAATGCCTTAAAAATGGGGTAATGATAATATTTTATTTTTGAAAAATTGTAACACATCCAGACTATACAGTAAGGGGCAAGCTACTAGGTATATAGGATGTACCCTGACGAATTTGTAGCCGTCCGCATATGCCATAAAATGACAAATGCGCGACATCACATTAGCGCTAACCTGGCGACAACCAGGTAAAAAGGCAACGTAAAAAACCTGTCACTCAAAAAAACCCTTAAAGCCCATTTTACAATGGACGTAACGTAACCGTAAAGACGTAACATAGGTCTTAAGCATGCGCACATTAGATTTATTTGCATCAAATATGTCACCGAAAACGCAACGTAAGAGATGACCAACTCGCATCTTCTCTTACGTTGCGTTTCGGGTGACACATTTGACGCAAATAAATCTAATGTGCGCATGCTCAGGACTTATGTGTCGTCTTTACAGTTACGTTAAGTCCTTTGTAAAATGGGTTTGAGTGGGATTTATGAATTCCATAACGTATCCGTAATGCAACCGTAACACAGCAAAACGCAAGCATTTTGAAAATTACAATGTATACATTCCTTGCGTTACGTTTGGCACATGCGTCGTAAATTGTTAAAAATCAGTGATTAATTGTTTTACGTTGTCTTTTTTGCTACCGAAGGCCTCAATTGTCCCAGGAAGAGTAAACAGGCACCTATCATTTATCTCTATATCCATTCCATGGATCTTTCTCTTCCAATTTTTCAGTGCTACTGCTACGTATGTTCTAATACCTTCCATAGCCTAGCTACTGGGACTGTATCGTATGCTTTTTGTAGGTCCACAAATGTGAGGAAGGTTTCCAAATGTCTAGCAGATCTCTTTTCTATGACTCGTTTTAGGCAAAATACGTTGTCTGTACCTGATCTTCCTGCTCTGAAGCAGCACTGCTCTTCTTCTTCTTTCTCTTCATAATCTTCTTCAATGAGATCACGTAGGATTCTACCGTATAGTCTGCTTAGTGTGCTTGTGACTGATATGCCCCGATAGATATTGCAGTCCAGCTTATTTCCTTTTTTGTGAATGGATGATATAAAAGTCGTTTTCCAGTCTTCTTGTGGAACAGGACGTCCATCCAAAGTCCGTCGATTTTAATCTGATACTCCAAAGGAATGTGAGCTGGTGGCTCCCTACATTACACCTGACCATAAGCTTCACCCCCTCGCTCCTCATACGGAAAGTGTCAGATTAAAATCGACGGCCAATAGGCATTTACTGATAATACATGTGAGACCTTTAAGGTTTAAAGTCAAGTCAACCTCTATTTTCTGAACCTTGTGTTCAAAAATTCCAAAAAAAATATATGTTTTATGGTTATTGATATACTTTAATTCATAACTTTTTAAAGCAAATTTGACTCGCCATTTTTGAGTTACATCGCAAAAACTGAAAAAAAAAGTGGTTTTTCGCCATTTATTTCAAAACGAATAGATGAAGTTTCCCGTTAATTTTATTACGAACTACTATTGCAATTCTACGCGACATATATTTTTTTCAAATTTTTTGAACATGTAGTTTTCTCGCTACTGCAAAAATAGTTGGAAATACGCCCGTAGTTACACTGTTTAAAAAAAAAATCCGTCGGATGAACGTTCAAAATTATTTGCGTAGGTCCAAATTACAACCCTGTTTATGTAAAACAGAATAATACTTCGAATTTCCGCAAAAAAAAAAGAAAAAACGTACCATCACACAATTTAACCAAATGAAGATTTCTATTTTTTTTTTTATTATCAAGTTAGGGCACACTGTAGGGGCGACAGCATTGACATCTCGCGTTGCTGTAATGAACTATAGGCCTGACTTTAAACCTTAAAGAGCTTCTCAGTTCCCCTTTCAGCATTTCGGGGTATCCCTTTTGTGCTTCTAGCTTTACCTGACTTAAGATTCTTAACATTCTTTTCTACTTTTTTTTCAGATATCTCAACTACTTCTCCATGTGCTTCACTATGTCTTGGAGAATCTAATATATATTCTGGTCTACTTTCTTGTAATAGACCCTTGTAGTGTTCTATCCATTGGTCTGGTTTAATAATCTGGATATTAGCTCTATCCTTTCCTGGGTTTTTGATATTTGATAAAAATCTCCATACCTCTGAGCATTTCCTTCCTCAGTGGGTGTTAATTTCTTCACATTTCTTATGCCATGACTCATTCTTAGCTATAGTGATGCATGTTCTTAGTTGTCTTTTTGTATCTTTATAAACTTCAAGCTGTTGTCCATTTTTTGTTGTTAGCCATTTCAGATATTTTTGCTTCTTCTCTTGGACTAATAGCTCTATCTCCTCATTCCACCAGTCACCAGTATATCTTGTTGGTATTTTGTTTTTCCTTCGGTTCTATTGCTTCTTGGGTAGCTTCTATTAGACTGCTTATAATGTCCTCATAGAGTTTATTGAGGGTACATTCTTCAGGGTTCAATAGTTTGCTGTCGAGTCGCCTCTGATATAGAAATACAGTGCTGTCATCTCTTAAACTGTCAAAATTGTATTTGTGTTGTATCCACTGTGTCCGTTAGTATGGTATTGGTGTTTTGTTCCTCTCGGTTCTTGTTCATTTTCCCAAATTGCAACTTTATTTTGACACTTACTAAAAAATGATCTGACCTGCAAGTTATTTCTCTTAGGACTCTTATTACGTCGTTCATCTCTATTTGTTTTTTTGTTTACTTATCACTAAGTAGACAATAATGAAGAGGGTGGGCAGGATAATTTTTCTCTCGAACTGAATACTATCAAACAGATAGCAGTGGATAATGGTTATGATCACACTGTTGTTGATAAAATATTGAATAATACCTTGAACAAACGTAGGTAACACTTCTTTGGCTTATAACACTTTACCCGTCTCTAATCACAAATATTGTTCCCTGCCCTATGTAAGTGCTATCGCTAACAAAATATCTAAAGTTTTGTCCAAAAATCTAGAAAACCTCAAAGTATCCTTTAAATCTTCTAGCACACTTGCTTCTAATTTAATTAACTCTAAACAAAAACTTCCACATTTAAGTGAAGGTGGAGTTTACAAGTTAAATTGCGTGGATTGTGATGTGATGTTCTCACAAAGGCAAGACGATAAGATCCTTATCTACGAGAATAAAGGAACACGTTACGAGACCGAACACTTCAGTATTCGGCCATCACCTTAATTATTCCGGGCATAATTTTTCACCTACATACTACATATAACAGGAAAATTCTCCATCATATTATTGTCAATAACAATTTTAGAAAAATTGACTATCTGGAGGATTTGGAAATTAAAAGAGAATCTTCATAGAACTCAGACTTTGTTCAGACTGTTTAAACTTGAAACTCAACATATAATTAACGACAAGGACCCAATCTTCAATCTGTTCACATAATTTTTTACTTATTCCTCCTTTTTCTTTATTTTATTTTTATTACTAGCTGAACCGGCGAACTTCGTACCGCCTATGAATTATTAAATACCTATTAAATGTTGTGTTAACGTATCTAGTAGATGAATTAAATTCAGTTTTTTTCAATGGTGAATTTGGCCTTGGTTGAAGAAAAACTAATGTTTACTCTCTGGATCAGAAATCACCTAAAATTAAAATTTTACATCATTTGGCTATTGATTTCAAATAGGGTGCCTCGCTTGGATCATAATCGCTCTCGGAGCACTTCCGCAGAGATCTGTGACGTCACCGCCCAAATAGAGAGCGCTCTGGGAGCAGTAAATCCGAAATACTATAAGTTAATACTGTTACGTCGGTTGAATGGAATAAACAAAAATAAGTTGAGTTATGTAGGGGTGAGAAGCAAGAAAAAATTTAAAAAATTTGGGGTGGACCACCCTTATCACTTAGGGGTATAAAATAGTTATTTATGCAACAAGTGTCTAAAGTGAAAAGGTGCTTTACGCACGTATTGCATACAAAATTTTTTCTACTAATAATCAAATAGGTGTAAAAAAATAGATTTAGACAGATACTTTACGCACTAGTGCGTGAAGTATTTTCACTTTACGCACTAGTGTGTGAAGTAATTTACCAGAAAAATACTAAATTGACAGTCTTGACATTTGTCATTGACATTACTTTACGCACTAGTGTGTGAAGTGAATTACTTTACGCACTAGTGCGTGAAGTGAAATTTTACGTCTTCTGAATAGTGCGTAAAGCGAGTACTTTACGCACGGTAGTAGAAAAAATAGCTTAAAACCTATTCTCAGACCTACCGAATATACATATAAAATTTCATAAAAATCGGTAAAGCCGTTTCGGAGGACGAAGGTAACTAAAACTGTGACATGAGAATTTTATATATGTATTATATTTTATCGTTGACTTTGTTTTCATTTTATATTTATATTTTTATTTCTACCGACTCAGAGACGTCACCTCTGGGTAGTCACCTTTGAACAGGAAGACTGTAGAAGGTTCTAACGTGGTACTTGGATTCATTTGTGATTCACGTTATGTCCTCAAGGCGTCGCCTGTGACTTTGTATAATTCAATTCTCAAGTTAAATCAACCGTCGTGTCGTTCTAGATTTTTAGTCATAGGTACTGCAGATTTTGCAGAACAATCATTATGCTTTTTTCAGGACAAATTTATTTGCTCATAAGAATTTTTCTTAGAATCTTTCGTCTCACAAAAAAAAAAAAACCCTATAAGGGTATGTTTGAAAATAACGGCCAGCGGATAAATAACGCCCGGCGGTGGTTAAATATAACGTTTCAATTTCAGTTCTGATCCTGTTTTGTCAAGAATTTTGGATGGTGCCGATATTAGAAAAAAATTAAAACTTGCCAAAAATATTGAAAACCTACCTAAAGTCTGTTTTTTTTTTTAGGAAAATTCCCCAAGTCAAAAATTTAGTAACTATGTTGGCAACACAAGCCTTTTCAACATAATTTTTTTCAAAGCATTGACAATTTTACATTGTATTGTCAACATAAAATGTCATTTTGACTTTTATCTTTAAAAAAAAAACAGACTTTATTTTTTAATTTATCACATTTGCACAACATACATTCTAAAACTGATTCCAACTCTGTAAAACAATACCTTTACCTGCAAAGACACGGCATTTTTGCGACCAGTCAGGGCCCAGCGGTATTGTTTATGTTTCAAAGTTGTCTATTACCATGTTTATGCTTTCCGTTAAACCGTTTTAACAGAAAACGTTTTACTATGAAAACCCTTGCATAAACAGCTCATAAACCGTTTTATCTCGTTAAATCTTTTTGATTTAAAACGTCTTGAAAACGTGTTTTAACCGATTTGAAAACGGTTTAAATACTGCGTAAACATCTCAAACCGTTTTAAAGGAGTGGCAGCACTGCTTGTTATGACATTTAAAAACTGTTTTGGGGAAAGCCCCATAGAAGTATATACACAACACAGGATAAAACGTTTTAAGTTTGAAAAGGTTTTAGCGGTTTAAACGGATTAACGGAATGAAACGGTTTATAGGGCGATTATACAAACGTTTTATAGTAAAACGTTTTCTGTTAAACCGGTTTAACGGGAGGCATAAACATGGTAATTGCTATTCGATGCATTGTATTTGATGCATTTTTTTTAAATCTTAATGATTAATTTTTAGATTGTCGATTTGCAATTTGATCGCAAAGATATACCGATGAACAAACTGGTGGCCACCACGTTGGAATCTAAATTTTTCTGTTTCGATGTACGCACTCAACATCCAAAAAAAGGCTTTGCGCATTTAATAGAAAATGCGCATGCATCTACAATTTGGCAAGTAAAGCATCTGCCGCAAAATCGAGAAATCTTTATGACTACCGGAGGCGGTGGATCTTTGTGTTTATGGAAATAGTAAGCAAATATATTTCGCAGGTAGAAAGCAAATTTCATTTGCATAGGACTTTGCTAACTTGTTATTTGACAGTGGGTGACAGTGACAAGTTAGTAACTTGATAGCAATAGTTGTATTCCTTTCAAGAGTTTGAAACACTCGAGCTACTCGCTCCGGTGCTTAGTAGCCTCCGATTTGCATGGAACAGGTGCGTGGTACAACAAACACTTTTCGAAAGGAATACGCGCGTGAAGCCCCGGAGCTGTTTCGGAGATCCTCCTAGGTGTGAAAGGAATACAACTAAAGTAAATTGAAAGTGTTGAAACTATAAGTGCGCGTTCACATTGACACCGCTTGAGCGGTGAGCGTTGCGCGATGCCGCTATAATGATGCCCAAAAATAATTTTAACATTATATTTCCAATGAACAAGTTCACACTGGGCGGCGCGTCGAGCGGTGTTAACATGTTCATTTGAAATATAATGTTAAAATTATTAGCGCAACGCTCACCGCTCGAGCGGTGTCAATGTGAACGCGCACTAAGGCTATATTCCATAGGTAATATGAATTTTCTATTATTCACTATCATGATGAACTGACTGGAATTTATCGAATGCATAGGCAAAATTGGGCAAAACATATTTTGCCTAAATTTGCTTTCTGCCTACAATTATTATTCTATACTAATACACACATATCTAAAATAGAAAACGTATCAACAATAAATGGCTCAATTTTGTTTCAGTACATATCCACCAAAAAGAGTAGAGAAAGACTCTGAAGGTATCCAATATGGAATAATGGGTGAATTACACCAAATACAAAACAGTGGACTTTCTGATCAACCGATAACGGCTTTTGATTGGTGCGTGGATAAATTGGGCCTTGCAGTGTGTTCAGCTTACGATCAGACTTTAAGAGTTCTGATAACGACCAAACTGAATTTATGCTAATTACCTACTACTTGAGTCTTCAAGCTGTGGACATAAAAAATAAAACAGTTTTTTTTGTTTTTCTTGTGATTGTAATCCTTGTACATTGTACCTACTTCACCATTAAAATCTTATCAGCTAGGTAATTAAAAAAAGTTTTGAACTATAATAAGCGAGTGTTGCGCTTTATTTTATATCACGATAAATTCCAAAGGGCAGACAAATATTAAATATTTTTTACCTCTAATATACAGGGTGTTTGGTGCATCGTTTGCCAAATTTAACTGCCCGAAAGAAGGGCCATTTGCTAACTCTTCACCCATAATAACTCATCCTTAACCCCTAGGGTTTTTTTCAGTTAGATTTTTTAAATTTTTTTTTTAAATCTAAAAATTCGTCATTTAGACTTAAATAAAAAATAAAAATAAAATTTGGAGACTAGGCCAACAACTTTTTTTTAAATTTAAGTTTAAATCGCGAATTTTGAGATTTAAAAATCAAAATAAGAAAAAAAACCCGTGAGGTCAAGGATGAGTTTTTATGGCTGAAGAGTTAGCAAATGGCCCCCTCTTTCGGGCAGTTAAATTTGGCAAGCGATGCACCATACACCCTGTATAAAGATTTTACTATTTATCAAAGTAATTATAAGTGAGAAAGAGATTACTCTAAAATATAAAATATCTAAAATTACATATCAAAACAACCTTTGTACATAACTACTGTTAAAATACAGAATACACCGAATCTCGCAATTCTTGTCGAGTATCAAAATATCAAACTACGGAAGTTCTTTGAAAGAACTATCACTACAGATGCTGTAAAAGTCACCATCGGCACCACTTTTGACGCTATAAAAACTCTGTGCGCTTCTCAGGCTGCTGAATGATGAACCGGATGTTGAACGCACACGTTGAACAGGATGATGTGCTGGAACGATAGTGTTTGGAGTTTGGTGGCTGGAATTTGGAGGGTTGCCTTGTTTGTTGGTTAGATCTAGAATATTAAGCAAAAAAAAAAATAGAAATAATGTATGCATATAAAAGTCCATTAACATAATAAGCTGGTTTCAACACAATAATTGCATTCAACTAGACGTAACTCGAAATAGTAAAGATGCAAGAAATATAAAAATGAATTGAGCCCTACTATAATATGTAGTAGGTAACGAAATAAAAATACTATATTACATTACGAGTGTAGAAAGTGACAAATCACACGAGTGTATGAAAGACGCTTTCTCACAAGTAATGTACACCATTTTTCCTACGACCAGAAACCAATTTACATCAATTTTCTCTTACTTCTTTTCATTTTCAACACACGTGCTGAAAGAACTTCCAACCCACGACCCACGTATTGAAACGAAATTGTGAGGTGATAAATATGAATTACAAATAATGTCAACAGTATTTTCCACACGTGTGCTATAAGTACTTTTAGCACACGTATTGTAGGTACTCTCGGCACGCGTGTGATATTTATTAGCGCTTTTCAAGGAACCAACTAGTGCGGATTTTGTCACTTTCGTCTGTGGTCGTAGAAAAATGAATCATTTTGTTTATAGGTACTTAAATCTCTCAAGCTGGGCCAATTGGCACAATCTTAGGGCCGGTTTCTTAATAGCGAGTCACCTCCGAGTTGTTTTAAACTCCAGGGTAAGCGTGGCCAGTTGCTATGTTTACCCTAGAGTTATGCTTAACCCGGAGGTGACTCGCTATTGAGAAACCGGCCCTTAATCTTGCAATACTGCCTGATGACTAGAGAGTTCGCAAATAGAATTTTACCGCAATAAGTCCAGCGAGTTCGAAACAATTGGAACGAAAGCTGAAGCAAGTTATCTAGACAATTCTAGAAGCAACGGTGCGCTGATTTACAATTTGTTTCATTAAATGTCGGTCTGAATGTAGAAATAAATTTTAAAAAAGAATTTGCATCTGAGACATCTGCGGACACCGGTTAAAATTGTGTGATTTCTTATGCAGCAGTTTCAATTATTTATTATTCATGTGGTTGTTTCGGAATTTTAGGAGAGACCAGCGAAAATAGCCTCAGCAGAAGTTGAATAATATTGTGTAGATAAGATTTTCAAACTTTGAAACTGCATAATTATCATCACAGTTATCATTGTATAAAGAGACTTTTTATACAATGATATTATTGACAATAATAATGATGCTGATTTGTTTTGGGCATGAATGTGTCTTGCATCATAGAGGTACCACACCCTGGTGGGTTTTCACTTTATAAGGACACGTTGTGTATGGCTCTCGGAGACAAGAGGTTTTTTGAAATATCTAAGAAGGGTTTCATTTTATTGACAACAAAAGTAAGGGACTCATCTACCCGAAATACAAATTATTGAATACTTTGATAATTATTTTTCATGCAATTTTATAAAGATAAACATGTCAAAAAATATATACCAAATTGATTTATAAATTAATACCCCATTATTTATTGTTGATATTAGTCACAAAATCGACTTATTCTAGGAATACCCCTCAGCAATCCCCAAAAATTTTCCAAGAGTTAAACTTTTTATTATTCCTGTTAGGTATATAGGCATGTTTGATTATTTGTAAATACCTACAATCATTTTTACCCTTGAAATTAAGGTTGAAGGTGTAGATTATTAATTTATTAGGTGATTCCTTAATAAATAAATGATTAATACGTAAGACTTTAGTGCTATGTCCAGCTGTCAGCATAAATTTACGTCGTATTATTGATTGATAAAGCTGTCCCAAATCGTCATTATAAGTTGCTTCTAGTTTTTCATACATTTGTGACATTTTTCATTTAATAATAGTTAAATACTTCAATGCAACGTACTTATATATTTTTGATACCTATATTTCGCAAATAAATAAAAAACTACACCTGTATTATTACTTATACAACTCTAATTCAAATAAAGGTATGATAAATAGTCCATTACCTGTCCAGTTATCATTATTTTGACGATTTCTTCTTCCACAGCAAGCAAACAACATTTTCCAAAATAAAAATTTGCACAAGAGGACACAAAATGTTACTTTTCCGCTCTGCGCCCCTATACAACTTATCGAAACCTAACTGAAAATGCTAAATATCATTACAAAGTTTGCAATAACATTTTGCCCATCATAAAATAGATATTGAATCTTATCGGAAATGATAACAAATTATTGTATTATTATTATAAGTATATGCAGTAGGAGGTCCCTTATTGTTTATGGTATTTATTGAACAGATTTAGATAAAAGTGGAAAAAATCGTAGAAAGTCGGGAATTGAGTCGTATAGGTATATAACTAATAGAGTAGGTATAGGGTGTTTTTTTATATATTGACACCCCACCTACAGCCTTTACCTTTACAGGTAGAAGAGAGGTGTAATAAATACAAAAATTGTACAGGGTGGCCCAAATTCGAGCCTCATCATTGGGATCTCGGAAACCGTAAGAGATACAGGGTCGGTTAAATTATGGCAAAGTTGCGCAATTTTATGACCAATAGAATGCCGTTTTGAAATTAGAAATATTCCGAATACTTCCGGAGATATTCGAAAAAAAACGAAATTTTGTAAAATCGTTTTTATTTTTTCCTGGGCTTATTTGAAGAGCAATTTTAAAATAAAGGTCACTTCATCATTGTCACTTTTTCCCCTTTAGAGGATGGTGCTACTAAATTTAAAATCCGACGTTTCGTCTTCAGGCGGCCATCTTCAACTTACTTTTTTTAAATACGGACCTGGATTTTTTATTTGCAATTTTGTCATCTTTGGGCCGGCCTCCTAAAACCGATACTGTTTATAATTTTTCGATACCACAGTAAAAAAAGCAGGTCCGTATTTAAAAAAAATTAATTGATGATGATTCCAGAGGAACGAAACGTTGGATTTTAAATTTACCTATTACGGCCATCTTGTAGAGAAGAAAAAGTGACAATGAGAATGTAAAATTAGTTTTTCATAATCTTTTTAAATGAAATCAGGAAAAAATTTGGAAAATACGAGAAGTGCGGGAAGAAATCTCTTCCCGCACCGGTTCGGGAAAAAAGTCTTCTCACACAGCAAATCGTGCGGGAAGAGCCATTTCCCGCACGCTCGTAGAAAAAACTAACTTCACATTCCCGCATTGTCACTTTTTCTTCTTTACAAGATGGCGGTAATGAATTTAAAATCCAACGTTTCGTTTCTCTGGAATCATCATCAATTCATTTTTTTTTAATACGGACCTGCTTTTTTTACTGTGTTATTGAAAACTTATAAACATTATCGGTTTTAGGATGCCCAAAGATGACAAAATCGCAAATAAAAAATCTAGGTCCGTATTTAAAAAAAGTAAATTGATGATGGCCGTCTGAAGACGAAACGTCGGATTTTAAATGTAGTAGCACCATCTTCTAAAGGGGAAAAAGTGACAATGATGAAGTGACCTTTATTTTGAAATTGCTCTTCAAATAAGCCCGGCAAAAAATAAAAACGATTTTACAAAATTTCGGTTTTTGCCGAATATCTCCGGAAGTATTCGGAATCTTTCTAATTTCAAAACGGCATTCTATTGGTCGTAAAATTGCGCAACTTTTCCATACTTTAACCGACCCCGTATCTCTTACGGTTTCTGAGATCTTAATGATGAGGCTCGAATTTGGGCCACCCTGTACAGTTTTGGCTAAATTTTTAGAATCCATGGTCAGAAATAAAAATTGAATGTCAGAAATGTGAAATGTTGCATGCTTTCAGCTTTTTTCGAATGAGATGCCCTATATTTGGTTCTATATATTCTTGAAGAGCATAATGCGGCGATTCCAAAAATATATAGTTTGTCTATATTTGGTTGAGAAGTCTCTCATATATTCGGCTCCAAAAATTGTGAAAATACTATCCTACTAACTGATTTTGTGAACCATTCTACCTGTACAGGTGAAAGCTGCAGGTGAAATTTGAGGTACCTACTTGGTTTCTCTGACAGTATTTTTAAAATGTTTAGAACCAAATATGTTGGAGACGGCTTAACCAAATATAGACAAACTATATATTTTTGGAGTCGGGAAATTGTGCTCTTCAAGAACATAGAACCAAATATAGGGCATCCCATTTAAAAAAAGCTGAAAGCATGCAACATTTCATATTTCTGACATTCAATTTTTGTTTCTGGCCGTGGATTCTAAAAATTTAGCCAAAACTGTACAACTTTTGTATTTGCACCTTTCTTCTACCTGTAAAGGTAAAGGCTGTAGGTGCCAGGTGGGGTGTCAATATATAAAAAAACACCCTGTACATCATCACAGATTCTGGGTTCACTAAAACCCGAGCTAAAACCATTCACAAACGCCGCCGGTATTTAAACAGCCATGTTTATAAATACTTCTTATTTCTTATTAGCTATACAGGGTGTATATTTTAAGTGCTACCACTATTGCTATATCCGAAACGGTAAGAGCTACAAGGTCGGTTAAATTAGAAAAAAGTTGCCTCTTTTGATGCCTAGTTAAGAATCGTTTACAGTGTTGCCAAATTCTTTTTAGTTTATGAAATACAGGGTGATTTCTAAGAAATGCCCAAAAATATTTCATCAATTATTTCGATAACTATTGATTTTTGGAACACACTTTAAATTTGAAAGTTTTATAATTTTTTTTCTCTACCACATGGTATCTTCAAATTTTAAATCCGACGTTTCGTGACCGAGCTACCATCATCAACTTCATTTTTTTAAATACGGACCTGGATTTTTTATATCATTTTTACAAAGGGAGTAAAGGGCAGTTTCTAAAAATGACATAAAAAATCCAGGTCCGTATTTAAAAAAATGAAGTTGATGATGGTAGCTCGATCACGAAACGTCGGATTCAAAATTTGAAGATACCATGTGGTAGAGAAAAAAAAATTATAAAACTTTCATATTTAAAGTGTGTTCCAAAAATCAATAGTTATCGAAATAATTGATGAAATATTTTTGGGCATTTCTTAGAAATCACCCTGTATTTCATAAACTAAAAGGAATTTGGCAACACTGTAAACGATTCTTAACTGGGCATCAAAAGAGGCAACTTTTTTCTAATTTAACCGACCTTGTAGCTCTTACCGTTTCGGATATAGCAATAGTGGTAGCACTTAAAATATACACCCTGTACATAAAGACCAGACCATTCTACTAGATAGATACATTGGGAGTAATAACACCAAAGAGCTTGTACCCGGTTTAGGCGATTCAAAACGATGCTGCTGAAGCCCAGTATAGCCAATAGGCTGCCGAAGATGCACGAATTTTAAAAACATGCAGGGACGATAATTTAGGCTGTTCTTTTATACTTGCTAAGTACCTGCTCGAAAAACAGGGTTGGAAAAAACCCGGGTTTTTTTGAAAAAGTCCAACCCGTCGGGTTTTTTTTGGGTTTTTATGGGTCTTTTGGGTTTTTTTTGGGTTTTTTCGGGCTTCCCGGGGGGTTTCGTTTTTTTCTTCAAATTTAATTTATATACTCCTGGACAAAATTATCGCACCAATGCACATAAGCATCACCATAAGCAGTGGTGCGATAATTTTGTCCAGGAGTATAGTTTCTGCTCTATCAAAAAGTATTACAAAAATTATGACTTTTGTTGCAAAAAAAAATATATCCTTACAAAATAAAGCAAGCCACTTGATATAAATAATTACACTTGGCTGGCCAGCTCAGAGACTCCGTACTCCGTGCGTGTCATGTAGAATTCTACATCTGGACAGGATTCTATAGACTCGGTGCATTCGATATTTCGAATTCTACATGACACAGGAGTCTCTGCCCAGGCCTCCACGCCAAACACCAACAGTGAACAGCCAGGGATTGGGGAATCATCGGGGAATCCCCGATATTTTCTGTGAAATGCCGCTCATTCAACTGAAAATTTGCTGTTTTTGAAAAAACCCAATAATGGTGGGTTTTATCAATTGAAAAAACCCAAAAAAACCCACTGGGTTTTATAACCTGGGGAAATTCTATGCCAACTCTGTCGAAAAATCAGGAAGATCTGCTAGGAGCTGCTATTTATGAGCTTATTATATGGGACAAGTGAACGCCCATCAGCTGCTTAGATCTGCTTGGAGCAAGAAAAGCAGTACAAATGAGCAGCCTGCCTAATTGATCCACCGTAGCGATCCTGTCTGCAGTGCAGTGAAATGGGTCAGTCAACTGGTCCCATTGAAGCCTATGTGTCTAGTAGCCTGGATCTGTCTGTATACATAGGTGATGAGGGTGAACCTGTGAGGAACATTCATTTTTTTTTTGTGGTTTTGTCTTTATTTGTTTCAAGAATAAAGATGTTTTGGTGCCTTGTGGTGGGTACCCTTGTTTGTTACATTATGAATAGGAGCTTCTGAAATATCGTCAGTATAATAGACACTTTTTCAAACCTTTTCTTCAGACATATATTGCGCCCTCAAAAGGATCGCCCTTCCCACACGGTATCCTAAAGACAACAATCTTGCTGGACCAGCAAATGTGCAGTTTGTCAATTGCATTCAGCTCTGGTCTATCGATTTCCAGCATTAATTATAATTAAATAAATTATTAAATAAACAATATGTTTATCTTGGCAACTGTAAATTCTGGTTGGGAAATCTCCGGCATAAACTTCTGTTTTCGTTTGGGTGTCTACAAAAACCTAAAAAGAAGAAAAATGAGATAAATCACTAATCACTTGTGTGATATGAAAACTCACCTGTATCTATCCCAAAACTAATTAACATTCCGCTATTGTGAGGGTTCTCTTTGCTCACCTATTTCCGAATTTTTCTATTTTTCCGTCAAAGTTAAATCCAACCCTGGTGTTTGGCCTATTTTAAATTACGGCTGGCCTTGTCACCGTTCAGCGAATATTTTTGGTGCTTCTCCCACCGCCTTGAACTTGGTTCACTGTTGGAGCAGGGAGGTTTCGTTTTGGTACCAGTGGTCACGGAACCTTTGTCGAGAGCTTTGAAAACTCTAAAATCCGTCCGTATCGCCCTTTTGATTTTTATCAAGATTTGTAGAAGTTGGCGTAGACCACAATATATTTTGTGAGCTCAGTAGATCCAGATTCCAGATTTATGGTTCTCGAGCGATTTTATGAGTTATT